ACTATATGGTGTATTACATGAATTGATTTTCATATGTTGAACCAATCTTGAAAAAAATCATTTGGTCATGGTGTAAAATCTTTCATGAAGGTTACCATATTGGGTTTGCTAGTATCTTTTATTTTTTGAGGATTTTTGCATCTGTATCTGTAAGATATTGGTCTGCAATTTTCTTTTGATGTCTTTGTCTGGTTTTGGTGTCAGGATAACAATCATAAACAACAAACTGAGAAATGCTCCCTCCTCTTTTGTTTTGTGGAAGAGTCTGCAATACTGTTGTTAATTCTTCTTTAAACATTTGATAGAATTCATCATGTGATACCTGCTCATTTGGCAGAAGCCATGTGGCCCTTTTTTTGTTGTTGTTTTTTGCATTGCCAATTCAATCTCTTTACTTCTTTATGTTTATTTGAATTTTCTATTTTTCTTGAGTCAGTTATACAGTTTGTATTTCTTGTAATTTGTCCATTTCATTTAGGTTATCTAATTTACTTGCAATGTTTACAGAAATATAACTTTCATTCCTGATTTTAGTAATTTAAACCTTCTCTATTTTTGTCAATGTAGCTAAAAGTATGTCAGTTTTGTTGATCATTTCAAACAACCAACTTTAGTTTTCTGGATTTAAAATCTTTTTTGTTGTTATAGATGGACAGAATGCTTCTATTTTATTTGTTTATTTTTATATGGTACTAAGGATAGAACCCAGTGCCTCACACATGCTAGGCAAGCACTTTGCCACTGAGCTATATAGTTCCAGCCCAGTTTTCTGGATTTCTCTGTTGATTTTCTTATTCTCTATTTCACCATTTTCCATTCTAATCCTACCATTTCCTTTCACCTGCCTGCTTTGGGACTGGCTTACTTATTTTTCAAAAACTTAAGGTAAAAGTTTAGGTCATTAAGATTTTTAATAAATGTAGCCATTTACCGTATAAATTTTCCCTTAACAATGCTTCAGCTATATCCTAAAGTTTGGTATACTGTGTCTTCATTTTTATTTGTCTCAAAATATTTTCTAATTCCCTTCATTTAACTTACTGATTACTTAAAAATATTCTGTTTAATTTTCACATATTTGTGTATTTCCCAAATTTTTCTTCTTGCCATTAATTTCTAAATTTACCCCACTATAAACTGGGTACAGCAGCATATGCCTATAATCTCAGCAACTCAGGAGGTTAAAGAAGGAGGAACCCAACTTTCAAGATTTTCTTTGTCTCTAACCATTTTTATTATGTGTCTRGGTGTAGACCTTACTGAGTTTATTCTACTTGGACTTCTTTAAGCTTCGTGGATATGCACATTAATGTTTTTCATTAAATTTGGGTTGTTTTTACCTTTTGAAACTTATTTTTCTGTTCCTTCTGCTACTTCTCCTATGCACATCTTGGTGTACTTAACACCATCTTACAGTATTCTGAGGCTCTGTTCATATTTCTTAATTTTTTTAAAAAAATATTTTTTTAGATGTTGATAGACATTTCTTTATTTTATTCATTTTTTTATACAAGGTGCTAAGAATCAAACCCAGTGCCTCACATATGCTAGGCAAGTGCTCTACCACTGAGCTACAACCCCAGCCCCTCTTAATTGTTTATTCACTGTTATTCAGAATACTGGATCTTAATCTATTTTTCAAGTTTCTTTTTTAAGTTGTTGATGGACCTTTATTTTGTTCATTTATATGCAGTGCTGAGAATCAAAGCCAGTGCCTCACACATGTGCAGCAAGCGCTCTACCACTGAGCCACAAACCCAGCCCAAGTTTTTGTTTAATTTTTTTTAGTTGTAGATGAACACAATATCTTTATTATTTTTATGTGGTGCTGAAGATCAAATCCAGTGCCTCACAATTGCAAGGCAAGCACTCTACCACTGAACTACAGCCCCAGCCCCTCAAGTTTTTTGATTCTCTTTTGCCAGTTCAAATTTACTGCTGAGTTCTTCTAATAAATTTTTCACTCATTTATTTTACTATTCAACTTGAGTATGTCCATGTGACTTTTTTTTATATTTCCATTCTATTGTTATCTAATTAATGAAACATCATCATCAAAGCTTTTTTTTTTTTTTTGGTACTGGGGAGTGAACTCAGGGGTGCTTAACCACTGACCCACATTCCCAGCTCTTTTTAAATTTTATTTTAGAGACAGGGTCTCGCTGAGTTGCTTAAGATCCAGCTAAGTTGCTAAGGCTGGCTTTGAACTTGTGATCTTCCTGCCTCAGCCTCCCAAGCCCCTGGGATTACAGGTATGTGCCACCATGCCAGGCACTTTTTTTTACTTCTACAAAGAGTTTCCTTTACTTTTTAGACCATATTTCTTTTTTTTCTTTTTAATTCTCTTTTTTTAGTATTATATTTTTAATATCAATGTCAATGTTCATAACTAGTATACAGAAATACAATTGATTTTTTTTATTTCTTACATACATGACAATAGTGGAATGTATTACAATAATAATATCCATTCACCCATAATTTTTTGTAACTCTGTATATAAAGTATGTTCACGCCAAATTATGCCATTATACATGAGCTCTCTTATTATTATTTTTTGCATTACAATTCTAATTCTTTTTAATTGTAGATGAACACAATACCTTTACTTWATTTATTTATTTATTTACGTGGTACTAAGGATCGAACCAAGTGCCTCACACATGCTAAGCAAGCGCTCCACCACTGAGCCATAGCCATAGCCCTTAGATCATATTTCTTTTTCTTTTTTTAGTTGTAGTTGGACACAACACCTTTATTTCACTTGTTTATTTATTTTTTTATTTTTATGTGGTGCTGAGGATTGAACCCAGGGTCTTGCATGTGCGAGGTGAGCGCACTATCGTTGAGCCACAACCCCAGCCTCTTAGATTGTATTTCTAATGGCTGCTTTGTAGTCCTTGTTAAATCTCTTATCTGGGCCTTCATAGGTAATCTCCATTGCTTACTTTTGGTTGTATATGGGTTACATTTTCCTGTTTCTTTGTATTATCATAATTTTTATTAAAAACTAACATATAGGTAATATATTGTAGTATGGGAGACCAACCTCGCACGTAACTGAGTTAACTCCTCTGCTGGGTGATGTGGTGTCAGGCACCCATGCTGCTAGACTGCCCTGCTCTTCTAGAGTTCAAGTGACTATCTTCGTGCCCGGGCATGTCTTGCTACAGCCCCATGGGTGGAGCTACGCTTACCTGTTCCTTTGTAATATAACCCCTTGCCCTGCTTAGGATAGAATGATCCATGGAAGTGCCTTGTGTGTGTCCTATCTAGCTGTCAGCCCCCTGAAACCTGACCCCTTACCTCATTTGAATAGCTTCTCCTCAATAAAAGGGGTCGGCCCATGCGTGCTCTCTCTCTCTCTCTTCCTATGGACCCTTAAGGTCAGAGGAGCCATCACAGTGACCCCAAAGAAAAAGGTATTTGTGTCTCTTGTGTGGTTGTTTCGTGCAGCCCAGTTAGCCCAGTTCAACTGGAGTAACCCCTGAGCCTTTTAGTCTCGAAGAGAAACCTGGCAATTGGCACCCCGCACTCTGGAGATGGTTCCCCTTTAGGGCCAGACTATTTCAGTAAAGTCCATTTCTCCAATAGACTAGTGAAGACTTTACTGTTATACTTCAGACAGGGCATGCATACAGTCTCCCTGGGATGGTTCTCTCTGACTGGCTCTTTCTCCAATCTCTGTTAAGCTTTCTGCCTGTTCCAGTATCACACCCAGAGTTAGGCTCCACAAAATGCTGGCTGAATACTATTTTTGATAATGCCCAGGGGCATAAATTGCTCCGAAGTCTGATTTGGTTGAATTCAAGCAGGGATAGGTTTGTTTTGTTCCTAAGAATTTTTTTAGTTGTAGAGGGATACAAGACCTTTATTTTATTTATTTTTATATGGTGCTGAGGATCAAACCAGTGCTTCACAAGTGCAAGGCAAGTACTCCACAACTGAGCTACAACCCCAGCCCCAAGCAGGGATAGTTTTTGAGGATGAAATTAGTTCTGACCTTAGGAGAGTTCTTAGAGATCTCTTCCCTTGCTTTTATGGTGAACTAGCTGGTTTACTGTTTAGTTTGTTGCTCTTAATTAAGAACAACCAACCTCCTTTTATTTGCTTAGTACTAAAATCTCCATAGTTTTTGAAATTATTACCCTTAGGTATAAATCTCCTGAGTTTCTGTTCTTACCAAGTCCATCTTCCCTTAGGCAAAACCTCTTGGCCTCTAACTCTCTCCACTTCCATCTCTCCTGATGGGAAATCTTTGGAAATAAGTGAGCTGGGGCAAGAGCAATTGAAACCATAGTATTATTGGCCTGAAGAACATGGGTAGAGCTTCTACACYATGAGTTTACTAAGAGCTAGTTAAACCATACTCCCAAAGAACTCAGCTCCTTCAATTTGGGAGTTGGAGGGGATATGAAAAGTTGGCAGCCTGCATCCCAGGAAGGTACCATATTCCTTGTTTGGAAGTTAAGAATCCTCAAGGATTCTTCCTACACTCTGATTCCATCCTGTTGACCAGAGTCAAATGCTTCAGATATAAGCATCTGACCCAAGATAGGCCAGAGTCCTTTACCAGGAAGATAGGGCTTAGACTAGGAGTCTATATACCCACATTAGGCTACCTACTCCCACCAAGGGAACCAGAAAAAGACAGGGCAGAGCAAAAAAAGAAGACAAAGAAACATGTAGGATGAACATCAGACAAGAATGATTCCTTGAGTTCCTAAGAATGCTCTGGTTATTGGCCTCCATTAATCCCTAAACATAGCCACCTCAGGTTCTGCAAGAAGGCCCTTCTCCTTGCAGAGTTACTCTGAGGAGTTCAATAAGGCTGCTGTAACCAGCTATCAAGAGTCTTAATAGTCATGGTCTAGGACACCTTAAGGAGAATTGTACTTTTAGCAAATCTCAAATCGTTCTTGGAAAGGTGGTTAAGAATGCTCCAGCAACCCCCCCGCCCATGAAAAATAGCTCACCACACAGGGGACCCACTCAAGTACCTTGATTGTGCTCAGACTCCTCATTGGCCACTCGCATCAGGGCATCCAGCACCAAAGCATTGTCTAGCCATGTGTACCACTCCTCCAACTCCTGAAGGAAGCTGGCTGTACCTGTTGATTCTGACACCTTTCTAGTTGCTAGTTTGCAGAGCCGCTCGACAAAGCCAGGGATGCTGAGAAGGGCCGCTGASAGGGAGAGAACGAAGAAATTTTCAAAACAAACACTGGCAAAATGGGCTCTAAAGCACTGAACAATTTTCATAATACTAATGATTCTTACTGTGATTGCTGATCCATAATGGGGATGGTGGGGAAGGCATGAGAGGAATAGAGGAACTTTAGATAGGGCAAAGGGGAGGGAGGGGAAGTGAGGTGGCATGGGGGTAGGAAAGGTAGTGGAATGAGATGAACATCATTACCCTAAGTACATGTATGAAGACACAAATGGTGTGACTCTGTATACAGTCAGAGACATGAAAATTTGTGCTCTATATGTGTACTATGAATTGAAATGCATTCTTCTGTCATTTATAACAAATTGGAATAAACAAATAAATTTAAAATTAAAAAAAAGAATTATAAAAAAAAGATCCATCAACATCTAAAACAAATATTTAAAAAAAATTATATTGGTCCATGTATAAATGTCAAAATATACTCTACTGTCATACACATCTAAAAAGAACAAATCTGGGGGCTGGAGTTGTGGCTCAGCAGTAGAGCATTCGCCTAGCATGTGCGAGGCCCTGGGTTCGATCCTCAGCACCACGAAAAAATAATTAATTAAAATAAAGGTATTGTGACCAACTACAATTAAAAAAAAWATATATATATATTTAAAAAAATAAAAAAGAACAAATTTTTAAAATTAGTTCTCTTGAGCTGGAGATGTAGTTCAGTGGTCTAGAGCACTTGCCTTAGCATTTATKAGGCTGCAGATTCAATCTCCAGTACGCCCCCCCCCGCCAACACACACATACACAGAGCTACATATATGTAATTTCTGACTTTCCTGTAACAAACATTTACCAGTAGGAAGAAAGAAGACAAGCATTCTCTTCTTTTTTTTTTATAGGAAATTGAAGGATTGTTTTATTTAGTGGGATAGAGATAGACAAAGGACAACCAGCTCGAATACTATTAAATAGAATAAAAAGGAATAAAAGAATACAGACAACACAGTGATGAATTTTCACAAAGATAATAGATTTGCATCACATGGAATATTTACATACAAAATGTTTTGATATTAGTGACCAGTTTATATCCAATCTTGTTTTCTAAGGTTCAAGAACATTTAAAAATCTCAGAYTTAAAATTTAAAACTAATGTGACAATTGTAAGCACACACCACTCATTTAAAACTTCTTAATAACTGCTACTCCCAAGTAAAGACCTTTTTTCCTCAAGATCTCAAAGATCACATCTCATACTTCTAGTAGTAATCACAACAGGATTAGAACCCCAAAAAACCAAGAAACATGCATTCTTTTTAAGGATAAAGAAAGAAACAATAATTTCATCTCCTTTGTTTTTCCAATTCCATTTCACTCACGTAAGATAGAAATTCTGATCAGTATAGGAACAATAAACTTTAATGGCAGGAATACTGGGTTCAAATCCTGGTACCATCATTTAACTTCTTGAAAATGAGGCTAATGTCTATATTTATTTATTTTCATATTTTTAATAACTTTATTTATTTTTTTAATGTGGTGGTAAGGATCAAACCCAATGCCTTGCCCATGCTAGGCAAGCACTCTACCACTAAGCTATAACTCAGCCCCTTTAAATATTTATTTATATATGCATTAAATCTCCCAGGAAGGAGAGAAAAGAAATTAACAGCAATAGATGCCATAAGAAATAGCCTCAGGAAATAGCCCAAAAGTCCATCAAACTGAACAGGGGGAATTAGAGGTCATTGGGAATAAGAGTTAATGAGAAACTTTAAAGTGAACACCTGTCTTTCAATCTATATTTAGATTTTTATGAACCATGTAAATGTATCACATAACCAAAAATTAGTAAACTAGACCASCCTGGGCAACACAGCATGACCATGTCTAAAAACACTGTCTTATAGAAACACTGAAATACATGCAAGTGAAATTACATGATGTCGGGGATTTGTTTCACATTAATCCAAAAGGGCTGGGTGTGTAGCTCAGTGGTAGAACATGTGTTAAGCATACATGAGGCCCTGAGTTCAATACCAGAACCAAAACCAAAAACCCCACAAAGTAGTGATGGGACTGAAGATAAGACAGGCTATCAGTTGATAAGTACTGAAGTTGGGAAATGGGTAAATGGGGATCATTACAGTATTTCTCTACTTTTTATCTATGTGAAGATTCCCATAACAAAAAAATATTAGGGGCTGGGGTTGTGGCTCAGTGGTAGAGCACTTGCCTAGCATGCGTGAGGCACTGAGTTTGATCCTCAGAACCACATAAAAATAAATAAATGAAATGAAGGTATTGTGTCCACTATAACTAAATATATATAGGCAAATATATAAAAGAAGGAATCACATAATTTTATACATATGGAGTATTTTGCAAGATAAAATCAAAACAGAGAGAATGGTGCACATTTTATACTACCATATGTACAAACAAGAGTCAATCTTGCTGGGCGCAGTGGCACACGTATGTAATCTCAGTGGCTTGGGAGGCTGTGACAGGACGGTAGCAAGTTCAAAGCCAGCCTCAGCAAATGCAACTCAGTGAGACCTTGTCTCTAAATAAAATACAAAATAGGGCTGCGCATGTGGCTCAGTGGCCAAGTGCCCCTAAGTTCAATCTCTGGTCACCCGCATCCCTCCCAAAAAAGAGTCAATCTTTCCCTCCCTCCTCAACCTCATGATTGGCTCATATAGAGATCTCTGGAAGGAGACTGGTCATAAACTACTTAGGAAGAAGACAAATTTTATACTGTACATCTGCTGTTCCTTTTGTACTGTTTGGATTAAAAAAAAAAACAAAATAAACAAAGAAGAGTTTGGGTTGTATATGAAAATCTRTACCTCACTGGATTTTTCTTATATCTCTTTGCTCCAACATAATAACTGTAAGTTTCTTTGTTCAGAACACCAAATTTTCCCATTCTTGCATACTAAATACATCCCTTCAAATGTGATCTGCCCGGGGGGAGGGGGGGGGAGAGAGAGAGAGAGAGAGAGAAAGAAAGAGATAGATAGATATTGATTTCTCTTTCTCCTGTAGCCACAAGAAGATGAGAGAATACAAAGAGAAGGTGGTCATCTGCAAGCCACCTCCACAGAAAAAAAGCCTCGCCAGAAACCAATCTTGACAGCACTTGATCTAGGACTTCTAGTTTCCAGAACTAGGAGAAAATAAACTTATTTAAGCCCCTCAATCTATAATATCTCATTACACCTATCCTGCATTTAAAAGTATTTAATACTGAAGTTTATTTAAAACTKAAGTTCAGTTTAAAAGTTATACAACACTAAGGTCTTTCTCATCACTTCTAGGTAAAGCAGTTACCTCAGTATTTGCCAGAGAGCAGGAACTATGTCTATGTAAGTGTGTTTATATGAGTTTTAAGGTATAATTCAGTCATAATAAAATTTACATTTTTCAAAGTATTATTTTATAACTTATTAAGATGAGAATTCTCCAAAAGTTATATAAAAGAAACACTTAACAGACCAAGGGAAGCCTCATCTGTATAGATACAGGAGGGAAAGCAAACCTGTAGGGAAACACTAATCTGGGGTCTGCAGAGTCCACACAGTCATGTTTTTTACATGACATAACTGAAACATGTAAAATTTATTCCTTAATAATCCACAAAGCACAGTTATGACAATCTGGGCCTTAACAGAGTTAACAGAGGGCACATTCAATATTATAAAGGAAGGCTTCTGTTTAGTACTTACTAACTCTGCAAAGCTAGCCCTGGAATGCAGAAACAAAGTATTGTATTCAAAGTATCACAGGGCTACCTTGGGATGGTCAGAGTTTTCTGGTGCATTTTTATTATTGTACCTTTGCTTTTTTGGGAGGGGATGTTAACATTAGGGTATGCTATGAAGTGATATGTTTATCAACAATTTGATGTCTGAATTTCTAGCTGCTAACAGTCAAAGAGCTAAGTTTTTTAAAAAATTAGTACATTAGGGTTCTGGAATTGTGGCTCAGGCAATAGAGTGCTCGCCTAGCACATTCAAGGATCTGAGTTCAGCACCACATAAACAATAATGGTATTGTGTCCAACTACAACTAAAAAATAAATATTAAAAAAAATTAGTACATTAGGGCTGGGGTTGTGGCTCAGCGGTAGAGCACTTGCCTCACATGTGTGAGGCACTGGGTTCTATTCTCAGCACTACATTTAAATAAATGAATAAAATAAAGGTCCATGAACAACTAAAAAAATATTTAAAACAATTAGTATATTATAATTATCCAAAATAGTGGAATTTGTTGGTACGTATTTATACAGGTACACAATATGACAGTATCTCCTCTTTCTCTCTCCTCTTCCCTCCCCTCTGGTTCCCTTCATCTATTATACTGGTCTCCACTATTTTTGAGATACCCCCTCCCCAACATGTATTTTTTATTTTTCTCTTTAGCTTCCACATGAGAGAAAACATACAACCCTTGACTTTATGAGTTGACTTATTTCATTTAACATAATGCTTTCAAAGGAACTGTAAAGACAGTTAAAAAATATATCATCTATATTTTACAGCCAGATGTATACCCAGTTTCCCCAAAACCTTCTTAGACCAGAATAATACATTATCAATAGAATAGAGTTATTTTGCTACTAAAAAGAAATTTGTGGGGTATATTGGTTATAATAGTGGTTTATTAAAAAAATAATAATAATTAGCATACCCACATAGTTCTAAATCAAACATATGTAAGTATATACTAAGTCCCATTGCCAATGCTGACACTGTCCACCATTATCAGCCACTTCATAGCAGGGAACCACTTCAGGTTTCTTTTTTTTTTTTTTTTTTTAAAGAGAGAGTGAAAGAGGGGAGAGAGAGAGAGAGAAAGAGAGAATTTTTAATATTTATTTATTTTTTTTTAGTTCTCGGAGGACACAACATCTTTGTTGGTATGTGGTGCTGAGGATCGAACCCGGGCCGCACGCATGCCAGGCGAGCGCGCTACCGCTGAGCCACATCTCCAGCCCCTTATGCATCCTTTTAGTTTCTTTATGTATACCATATGTAAGCAAATAAATATGTAGCCTTAGTCTCCCTCCCTGCCTAATACAAAAGTATTATATTATACATACTGTTAAGCATTTTCCTTATCATTAATACATTTTAGAGATTTTTCTATGCTAGTACATAGAGATCTTCACTTTTTTAAAGCTATACAATTTTCTATCATATAAATATTACATAAATCAAGTAGTCTCTTACTGATGAACATTTGGGTTGTTTCTAGATTTTTAATTGTTTTGGTACTGGGGATTGAACCCAGGGACACTAACCACTTAGCCACATCCCCAGCCCTTTTTAATATTTTATTTAGAGACGGTCTCGCTAAATTGCTGAGGCTGGCTTTTAACTCATTATCTTCCTGCCTCAGCCTCCTGAGCTGATGGAATTACAGGCCAGTGCCACGGCACTGGGCAAGACTTTTGTTATTACAACATTGTGATGAATAACTTTGAATACATATATAAGATAAAGGTTTAGAAGAGGCTTAGTAGGTCAAAAGGTATAAATATTTGTAATTTTGATAAACAGTGGGGTTTTTTTGAGGTAAACATAGACAAGTGTAAATTTCCATACTTTAAGTGGATTATCACAGCCCTCACACAGCAATCTCTAGAGATACTAAAAGAGCTAGATGAATTAGGTAAGGTCTCAAAGCTACAATCTCAAAATTCTGAGAAGTTGGAGACTTTACCTTGGTTGATTTCAGCTGCAGAAGGCCCCAAGCTCAAACTCTTCTTGTGCTGAGCATTTTTGGCAAGAAGTGTGTGCTTGTCATCATTCCCTGTATCCATCTCTGAAATGGTGACAGCCAGAATCCGGCAGAAATTAGCAAGCTGTTGCTGATCAAAATTGGATACTAATGAACTCAGGTTGGGAACTTCATCTAGTCGGATCATTTCCTATAGAAGATACAAATAAAACAATTCCCATGCTCAGTGCCAGATTATTGTTATGTGCCCCTGTGCATTCCCTCCAAAATGGGACTCAATAATGTGACCACTCAAATTCCAGCTCTACAATTTGCAGTTGTGCAAGTTAAGTAAATTATGTATCTCTCATCTTTCCTTGGTATCTATAAAATGAGACAAACCAACCTCCTAGGATTGGTCCAAGGGTTAAATTTATCCTTTTGAGTACCACAGTTCCTATTCTCCACTTCTGCTCTTGTGAAGCATTTTTGCTTATTTAAAAACAAAAAACAAACAAACAAAAACAAACCAGTCCTGCCACTCATATTATATAAATCATAAATCACTACTTTTACTATAAACTTTTTTTTTTTAAAACTAGGGATTGTACTCAGGGCCTCATGCATGCTAAGCAAGCATTCCACCACTGAGCTATATCCACAGTCCCTTTTATTTATTTTTATTTTTGAGACAGGGTCTCACTAAGTTGCCAAGGCTGATCTCAAACTTGTGATCCTCCTTCCTTAGCCTCCTGAGTATCTGGGATCTGTACCTGAGCCACAATACCTGGCTTAGATTTTTTCCTTTTTAAGAAATAACATTTCAAATTATTTTTTTCTTTCTTTTTTTTAAACTAGGGATTGAACCCAGGGCCTTACACATGCTAGGCAAGTGCTCTACCACTAAGCTATATCTGTAGCCCCAGTAACAATTGCTTTGAACTTTGTGTTTGTTATTCCCAGAGCACACTTTTCTACTTTTTTAATATTTATTTTTTAGTTGTAGTTGGATACAATATCTTTATTTACTTATTTATTTTTATGTGGTGCTGAGAATCGAACTCAGGGCCTCGCCATGTGCTAGGCAAGTGCTCTACCACTGAGCGACAATCCCAGCCCCACACTTTTAGTTTTATAAATATTTTCATTAAACTATATGCTACTGACCTCCATGCACAGTGTGATTATAATACTATACCTTACTTTTGACTCAACACTGAGTTTATCTACTCTGATCCAAATAGCTTTGATTCAACTATTTTTCTTCACTTTATTCCACAATTTAAATGTTCTCCTTTTTATATATTTAGGTAAATACAACTTTTCACTATGATACGATGTTACAATGAACATTCCTACAGGTATTCCTTGTGTACATGTATATATATCCATTTACATAGAGCACAAAAAAGCAGTTATTCTCATTTTTTTCTTTGACTTTAATAGAAATATTTTCAAAGTTACAAGATTAATGTTTACTTATAAGTTTTAATAGATAGCCTACTACCTCTAGCTGCTGCAGTTTTGCTTTTGTTTTTAGTAGTAGATGGGCAAAATACCTTTATTTTATTTATTTTTATGTGGTGCTGAGAATAGAACCCAGTGCTTCACATGTGTTAGGCAAGTACTCTACCACTGAGCCTCAACCCCAGCCACAGTTGCTGCAGTTTGATTATGATTTGTGCCTCACCAAAGGTTTATATACTGAGAACTTGATCTCCAGGATGGTCCTATTAGAAGGTGGTAGAACCTTTAAGAAGTGGGGACTATTAGGAGGTCCTCATTACACTGGGAGTGTGCCTTCAGAAGGTATTTCTCCTGGGACTCTGGTAGTTCTTGGGAAAGGGTTGTTATAAAAGGTCTCAACCAGTCTCTGTTTCCTACCTYAAAATGTAATCTTCTTGCTCCCTTGCACATCCTCATACATTGCTACTTGTGCCCTAAGGCAATTCGCTTAGAGGCATCCCTTGCCACAGACCCTGTGCAACGCTCTCTGGACTTTCAATTTCCATAACTGTGAACTAAATAAGCCTCTTTTTCTTCATAAGTAGTCTGTGTCCAGTATATCATTATACTAACAAAAAGTTGACTAAAATACTAGTTTTTATTATGAATGAGTACTGAATTTTTTTAAATGCTTCATATTTAGTTAAATTATTTTTCTTTTTTTCTTTCTTAAACTGTAAATGTTTAAATTAAAAAAAAAAAAAAAACCTGCCAGGCTAAATCCCAACTACTTGGGTGGCTGAGGCAGGAGGATCACAAGTGCAAAGCCAGTCTAGGCAATTTAGTTCAGATCCTTTCTCACAACAAATTTTTTTTTTTTTTAAAAGGGCTGCTCAGTGGTAGAGTGTCACTGCATTCAACCCCTAGTACTGACAAAAAAAAAAAAAAAATCTGCAAATGTTTATACTATGTGAGCTTTCCTTGTTTTAAATGGGTCTTGTATTCCTCAGACAATACCTACTATCCTTCATCCTATTGATTTACTAAACTTCCACTAGATCAGGAATTTCTCTAGCACTGCACATAACACAGACTTGTAATTATTTGTTTCTGCATCTATTTCCCAAATAATTGTGACATTACTTTGAGGGAAGGGCATATTTTACCTTTTCCTAGAGCTCTAATGCATAAGACACAGCAGTGAAGGAAATCAGTAAACACGCTAATGATTACTGAATGTTTTCATGAATCCCACTGCCCTCTATTTCTGGAGATAGAAGAGGAGAGGAATCTGCTGTGGAGGGAGCACTGAAAGCAGCTGCTTCCACCTTTGTCTCCTTTCTCCAGTCATTAAACACAAATGTTAGCTAGTCTTATTATTGGAAACCATGGCTTTCAGCTCTTTAGTTCCTCTAACACTGTTATATCAGTCCTAAGCCCTACTTCTTTTTACAATTTTTATTTAATATTTGATACAGACAATATGTTCTGAAATTTTAAAAAGGCATACTCTATATGCCTTTCCTGTTATATCTCTCTGCTTATGTCAGATGTTTTATTATTATTTTAGTTGTAGATGGACACAACACCTTTATTTATTTATTTATTTGTTCATTTATTCATTTATTTTTGTGGTGCTGAGGATCAAACCCAGTGCCTCACATGTGCTAGGCAAGCACTTTACCACTAAGGCACAACCCCAACCCCTTGTTTTTATTTTTGAGCTTTATAAAAATCAAATATTATTTATAGTCTTCTACCACTTGCTTCTATCAATCATTTCCATTACTCAGTTATATTGTTGCCTATAGCAACTGTTCATTCACTTATAATACTTTATAATATTCCATTGTATAAAGAGACATGGATCACTGACTTTCTTTTAGGTTCTGTTTTGAAATAATGATGCTACAAATGTTCTCATATGTTACTTGGTGCACATAAGTAACATAAGTTTTTCTAGGGCAGTAGTTTCCCAACTCTTTTGACAATAACCAGGAATAAGATTATATTTTCCATCACATCCTAATAAATACACATGTGGGAATACATAAATATGAAAAAAAAATCTTCAGACAATAYCCTTGCATGGCACACTTTGATCTTTTTTATTTAGTTGGTAAACCCACTAATTTCATAACTCTTCTAAATTCAATCTAGAACTCTCATCTCTAGGAATCACTGTTCTGAGACTAAGCTTTCCCACAGTATGTTCAGGCACAGGTTACAAGTAACCCAGAGCAAAATACTAATGCTTTAGCCCTCTGAATAGAGCTTCTTTAGGTGCATGTTCAAATATAAAACAAAACAAAAAAATATAAATAAATTCTTCTAATGTAAAAAAAAAAAGCAGCAGATAAGAGTTTCCACGGATATACATTTTCACCAACATTACCTCTTTCTGTCCCTCATTATAGTATAGGATTTGCATTTCCATGTTTATCAATGAAGTTAATCATTGTCTCTCTCATTTATGGCCTACTTGTTCCTCTTCTGTGAGATATTTGTTCATATCATTGTTTATTTTTCAACTAGGCTACTTGTCTTTTTCAGGCTTTTTTGTAAGAATTCTTGATAAATTCTGAATACCAATCCTTTGTTTATTGCATGAATTGCAATTATATCTTCCCGTCTGTGGTTTTGAGTTTCCCACTTTTCTTTTGGTGCCTATCCCCCTTGCAAACTTGCCAAGATACCCATCAAGTATAATAGAATCCATCACCATTTTTGGCAACACAGAAATGAATAAGAGGGCATAAGGGATGAGGTGGGAAAAGTCATGAAGGAGCCATCACTGCCTCCTATGCTGAGATTGCCAAAGAGTCTGGAGTTTCTGCCATGAAGGCCCCTCTCACACAATAACTGGGAAAATAACAAAGCCTTTTTATCAAAGGGCACAAAGGGCCTGTTTCGGGCCTGTACACATCTCCAATGTGTTCCTAGAGACAATGGGTCACTTGTGCTACTTCTGCCTGGGAAATGACAAGCAAGTCCTCAGAAAAGCATAGCAGAAAGACAGAAATGAGAGCTTGGGTAACCATGATGCACGTGAGTACCCTACTCCCTGCAATAGCAACCTTAAAGAGCCCGCTCAGCAATTAAGGGGCAGAAATCTACCAACCAGAAACCTCTACAGAAGCTCAGAACAGATAAGGACTGGGGAAGTAAGCTCTTGAGTCCTAACAAGGACTACACCAAAATTCTAACAGTGAGTCTCTAACAAGGTCTTAGGGGTGGGGTGGGGGGTATCCTATGACTTCTTGATGAGAAATTTTAAATTTACTGCCTTTATCTGGGTCACAATTTTTAAATTTAATTAATTTTTAATTTTTTTAAGGTACTGAGGATTGAATTCAAAAACAATCTAACATCCCCAGACCTTTGTATTTTATTTAGAATTAGGGTCTCACTAAGTTGTCCAGGATAGCCTAGAACTTGTGATTCTTCTGCCTCAGCCTTCCAAGTAGCTGAGAGGTAGGATCCACTGCATTCAGATGCTGATTATAAAAACACAAAACAATCAAACTATGGATAATCTGAATGTCCACCTTATAACCAAATCACAGGATTTCAGTGCTTACATTTTTGTGTCTTATGTTAGTAGCAATTAACCAACCTCAATCATTGAAGGCATCTAAAAAAATTGAGGTGGACTTAATAAGCAAAAACCAAACATTATCACCAGGGGAAACATACGCTAATGAATAAAGGTTTCACAGCAGATTCAAATACATAGAACTGGTTCTAAAGTAGAGTTACCACACAGCGTATAACTGTATAAATATGCTAAAAAAAAACATGTACCATGATAATTATTGAGGGGCAATTTTATCTTAGCAAAGAAACACTGGCCATCACACTAAATTCACAAAGTCAATTTGAAGTTTTGAGTTTCTTATTTAGTGTGATTCCAATTTATATATAGGTTTCACAGTCATAAAAGGCTCACTGATATTAGCAGCATAACCTAGTTTTATACTTGAATATACCTAAGTAACATCAAAAATAATTTAACACTATGAATATGAAAGAATTTCTTTTGAAGGAACTCTGCCACATTCAGGTTTGAGAATCTGATGATCTGATATATGCTCCCCCATCTGTTTAGTCACCTGCTAGAGAACATAGCTCACCTTTTTAACACCCAAAATATCTTCAATGAGGGTTGCTGTTTGTAAAAATGTCTTCTTACTTGTCATCAGTGTAAACAGGAAGATCACAAAATCATTCTTTTCTGCCAAACGCTTTGTAACTCCTTCCGTCTGTCACAGGGAAAGGGAAGAAAAAGCAGGATTGTAAATAGGTTGTGACCATAAAATATAAAGAGCACGGCCTTCCTTCCAGGTGCTGGAAAGCAATCCCATGTTGGAAAACTGGTACCCCAATAAATCTAGGACATCGTGTATTAACTGTGGGGAACAGCTGCAAACTCTCCTGCCATGCATCAAAAAGCCTCTGACCCTCAGACAACACTATGGAAAACCACTCTAAAGCTGAGAATGAGAGAAAAGCAGGAGCAGTGGCCTCAGTTGGCCAGGCAAGTCTAAGCCCCAAATTTAGAGAACAAACATGATTTGCAACAGAAACTGGTGACTAGTGTGAGCGATTTCACTCAGAGCTAAAAGAACTACTTCAAAATTCTGCCTCCCCAATATTTCTATTTGTTGATCCTGGTACTGAGGCACACATAAAATAAATCCAATTCTCTCAAATGTCTGAAGACAGKTCCTGTGTCTGCACCTCCATTCACACGTTCCCTTGTTAACCACTGAAGATGTGGTAGGGAGATAAATGGTGCCCCATTGGCAGGGGTACTTACACAGACACAGGTATTATACAGGATGCTCAGGCAGTCCTTGGACATTTCATCACTTACTGAAAGGGAAGGCACAATAATTGGTTATTTTTCTTGCTTAAAGGACAGTATAACATTATTATGCTTTTTGAATATAAGAACTGTAATAATTTTCTCCAAGATGATTACTTCTTTCAGTATACCTCCTTCCAGTCTATCAAAAATCTATCAATCAAAGATTTTCACAGTACCCATCAGAACCTAAAAACCAATTTGTATATTGCTTTCTGGTTTGATATGGCAGTCATTTTATTACTGCACCACATTTTTTGCATTTCATTTTCTGTGGTGCCATCACTCAATGAAGCCATTTTCCCTTCGTGTCTTGTTTAGAAAAAGCCAGAATTTTGAGGAGGGTTTTGTTATTTAAATAGACTATATATAAATAAGCAACTTAATATATGTGTGTAGCCTCTTTAAGCCTGGGTTGAATTTTCTCCTCAAGATACATTTTCAAAAGGAGTACTAGAATCCAAAATATAAGCATCTTAATTGCTTGTAATAAATTTCCATTGGAAGTTCTGCTAGCAGCAAACAAGGATACCACTTTTTATTAAAGATTCACCAACTGAGTGTTTTGTTTATTTTTTTATCGGTGTTMATTATGTTGGGCAAATAGCTTTTCGTTTCTGACCTACTACTGATTCCAATGAACTCAGTATTTCTCTGTGAGCAGAACAAGAGAGTAGCACAAAAAAGTAAACTTAGTTTTATTATCTCTGGGTTTTAGGGTCATAAAAATTAAGTCTGACACACAAACAAAAGTGTTTTGTCTGCCATTGCTTCTTTTTTTTTTTTTTTAAACTGTCTCAATTCTCCCCTATGCTGCCATATATTCTCCCTGCAATTCCAATGAGCAGTTCTGCTAAGCTGGCTTGACTAGATAGGTTGCCACATAGATCTTGAGACAATGCAGGTGCTCTGTATCTCTCATCACTACCGCTCAACCCATTTAAGCCTTTTTGCTTTATTTATTTAGTTACTTCTGAGCAGGGTGAACACCAGACCAACCTATCTCAATATTTCTAGGCTTTCCAGTTTAAAAGAGTTGTAATTCATGCATTCACCAAGTATTCATTTAGCACCTACTCTAAAACAGATAGTGGTAGCCAAAAAAAAAAAGGAGAGACAAATTTTCAGCCCTCATAAATCTAGTGGGAAGAAGAGGAAAATAAACAAATGCACCACCAAGTACTTATAAGATGCTACTTGCTGTCAAGATAGAGAACATGAAGGAATTAGTGTACAACACTAAGACATTAAAGATGAATAGGAATTTTCTTAACCACTACTGCACAAATGAGGGCTTATGTTAAGTGTAAATTCTTCAAAAAATTAAAAAACATTTGATGAATGCTTATAGAAGGGCATTCATCAAATGTTAGTTGAAGTCATCTCTGGCTTTTAAAATGTAGTACACTTACTTTTTTGAAATTAAATACTGAATACCTAAAAAGAAGATCTGTAACATGTATAAGCCACAAATAATAAAAGAAAAATACCCACATACACACCACCCAGCTTAAAAAATTAGACACTACCAATCATATGTGCTGTGGTAATGACTAAACTATTTACAAAAAGCATGTATGACCTTTATAACAAAAATCTAATAGGTCATAGATTTTTCAAAAATGTAAATAAAGTGATATTATCAGGTTATTCCTTACACTGGGTTAGCTATATACATGAAATAAGAATTAAAAAAAAACACATAAAGTTGGATCAAACAACTACTAAAAAGTTTATAGCGGCTCAGGAGGCTGAGGCAAGAAGATTGCAAACTCAATATTGCTTAATATTTGAAAAGCTACGGAACTTTTTTATTACCATGACTCTTCTTTTAGTTAAAGAACACTCATGTATATGTTTATTAAAAAGGTCTCAAAAGATATACCATAAATTATTGGCACTGATTTTTTACCAGGGACTATGGATGATATGCATATATCAGCTCAGCAACTTGGCAAGGCCCTAAGCAACTTAGTGAGACTCTGCCTCAAAATAAAAAAAAAATAAAAAGGGCCAGAGATGTGGCTCAGAGGTTAAGTGCCCCTGCATTCAATCCCTGGTACAAAAAAAWTTAAAAATGCAATTATTTTAGCCCCTTGATTTTCATGCTTTCTGTTTTGTTTTTGAAAGTGCCAGGTCTATATTTCTATCCAGTGTGGAATGAAGGAAGAGTGTTGCTTAGTTGGGGATGGAGAGAGCAACTGAAGCTGAATTAATAAGGCATGTTCTCACTATTAACAGGAAGAGAAAGAATAGCAATCTGAAGGAAATGCCATCATACTGGCACATTGRGAAATGAGGAACAGGGCCTAATGAATATACTTACTTTTTAGTTTCTGTCCCCGGATAGAGATTGTAGGCCTCATAAGAATTTCTACAAGAAGCTATTTAAAAACAAAAACAACAAAAGGAATAAAAAATCTTAAAAATTAATTCAAAGCACAAACTATAAAACAATCTTTGTTACCACAACTCATGGCCTGAGTAGCTCTCACAGTACTACAAAATCTTGTGCCAGGAGACGGTGAGATTCAGTGGAAGAAGCATTATTGTCAGAGTCAGAAAACCTGGGTTCTAGTCCCAGTTCAGCCACTTATTTTCCATGTAAACTTGAGCATGTCAGTGCCCCTATTTGAGCCTTACCTTTCTCATTTTTATAAATGAGTAAGTTAGATTAAGGTAATCTCTGGGATTCAATATTGCTTAATATTTGAAAAGCTACGGAACTTTTTTATTACCATGACTCTTCTTTTAGTTAAAGAACACTCATGTATATGTTTATTAAAAAGGTCTCAAAAGATATACCATAAATTATTGGCACTGATTTTTTACCAGGGACTATGGATGATATGCATATATTTTTCATTTTACACACTTTTAACAGAGCATGCAATTTTGCTTAAAATTTAAAATAAATGTGTATTTAAAAATCCATTCTGTTGAAAAATAATTTATAACTGATAAAAGGGTTAATCCATCAAGAAGATATAAATATTATAAATATACACGCACATAATAGTAGAGCCCCAAAGTACAGAAGCAAAAGCTAACAGAATTAAAACAGAGAGACAATTCAGATATTACAGGTGGAGCTAGTCGTAGTGGTGCACACCTGTAATCCCAGCAACTCTGGAGGCTGAGGCAGGAGGGTTGCAAGTTTGAGGCCAGCCTCAGTAACTTAGTGAGGCCCTAAGCAATTTAGCAAGACACATCCCAAAATAAAAAATAAAAAGGGCTGAAGGTGTGGGTAAGTGGTAAAAAAAAATAAATAAATAAATAAACCCTGGATTTAATTCCCAGTACCAAACAACAAAACAAAACAAAGCCAGGTGGATACTTGTTATGGTCTGGATGGGAGGTGTCCCCCAAAAGCTCACACATGAAACAATGCAAGAAGGTTCAGAGAAGAAATGATTGGGTTATGAGCATTAACCCAATTGGTGAGTTAATCACCTGATGGGATTAACTGAGCGGCAGCTGAAGGTAGGTGGGGAGGAGGTGGAGCATTGGGTGTGTGGCTTTGGGGCATACATTTGTATCTGGTGAGTGGAGTTTCTCTCTCTACTTCCTGATCATCATGTGAACCACTTCCCTCCTCCACACTCTTCTGCCATATTCAGCCTCACCTTGAGCCCTGAGGAATGGCATCTGCTGCCTATGGACTGAGACCTCTGAAACCATGAGCCTCCAAATAAACTTTTCTTCTTCTAAAATTGTTCTGGTCAGGTCCTTTCATCACAGCAGTGAAAAAGCTGACTAAATCAATACTTTAATACTCTGTTTTCAATAATGGATAAACAACTAGGCAGAAAAGCAGTAAAGAAATGAAGATTTGAACACCACAAATCATCTAGGAATAAAAGACATCTTTAGAATACTCCACGCAGCAACAGCAGAATACCTCTACTCAAGTACACACAGAACATTCTTCAGAATAAAATCATGTACAAATTATGTTCTCTGGTCACAATGAAATTAAAAATGAGAAAGAAATATGGGAAATTCATCAATATGTGGATAATTCAAAAGTTGTCCTAAATAATAAGATTAAAAAAATAATCACAAGGGAAATTTAAAAATATCTGAGATACATGAATAAACCAAAACTTATAATATACATAAGCAATGCTTACAGGGAAATTTATAGCTAATGACAATCTTTAAAAAATTACTTCAAATCAATAATCAATCTTCTACCTTAGGACACTGGGAAGAGAGGAACAAACTAAACCCAAAGCAAGGAAAGAGAAGGAAATAGGTATCAGAATGGAAACTAGTGAAAGAGAGAATGGAAAATAACAGGAAAAATTACATGCCAATAAATTAGATGATCTAGATAAAATAGACAAATTCCTACAAAAAAATTGGTTCAAGAAGAAACAGAATATCTTAATAGTCCTATAAAAAGTAAAGCAAAGGAATCAGTGATCAAGGATACAAATAAACATCTATGCATCAAGAAATGCAGAAGCCCAAGCGGCTTCACTGGTAAACTATTCAAAATATTTAAAGAAGAATTACCATCAATTTTTCATAAACTCTTCCAAATCACAGCAGAGCAAGGAACACTTTCCAACTCATTCTATGAGGCCAGAATTACCCAGATACCAAAGTCAAACAAAGATATCATAAAACCACAGACCAATATCTCTTACAAATGTACACACGGGGCTGGGGTTGTGGCTCAGTGGTAGAGCGTTCGCCCAGCACATTTGAGGCCCTGGGTTCGATCCTCAGCACCACATAAAAATAAGTAAAATAAAGGTATTATGTCCAACTACAACAAAAAAATAAATATTGAAAAAAATAAAATAAATATCTTAGAATTGTTCACAAACTTACATAATTTGAAATTTTTTAAAAAATGTACACACATAAAAAATCCTAAAAATACTAGCAAACCAAATTCAGCAACATATAAAAAGGCTAATACACCATGATAAAGTGGGATTTACCCCCCAAATGGCAAGGTTGGTCCAACATATAAAAATCAATTAATATAATACACCATATTGTTATTCTATCCTAGTCTTGTATTGCCTGAGTGGCCTTGTATAATTTTTACTTTTCCCTAATCTTGCTTGTCTTTGAGGACAGGATGCCTGAAGGGCAAATACTGCTCTTTGGTACAGCTGTTTGAAACTGGTTGGATCTAAAAAGGTGGCCAGAGTGATAGCAAAAAATCTCTTAACTTTATTACAATAAAATACATAAATATTCCTCCCCTTTATTAGCCTGCCCTTCCCCCTCGTTTCTTTTACTGGAGATTTATAAACTTCCCACTAGACCCTTAAGGGGTAGGAAGGTGATTTGTGAGTTTATCTCCTATTTCTTCTATTCTTGGACAAAAATAAAAGTCYCCACTGCTCAATCAGTGCTTGGTATTTTTATTGTTTCTTACAATTCCCAGAGGGAAATAGTACCCAGTCTTTGGGAATAAAAAAATTAGTAACCATATCAACAGAAGAAAGGGTAAAACCCACACAATCTCTCAATAGATGCAGAAAAGCATTTGAAAAATATTCAACACACTTTCATGATTAAAAAAACTATAATCAATAAGGAATAGAAGGGAATTTCCTCAACCTAATAAAGGGCATTTACCAAAAAAAAAAAAAAAAAGTTCACAGCTAATTTCATATTACTGGTCAAAGACTGAGTGCTTTCCCAACGAAAACAGAAAGAACAAAAATATATCCACTTTCACTACTTCTATTTATATTATTATATAAAGGTTCTAACCAGGGCAAAGGTTGTTTTTTTTTTTTTAAAGGGGGGGGGGTTCAAATTGGAAAGGAAAAAGCAAAACTATCTCTATGTGCAGGTGTTATAACCCAGAACACAGAAAATTCTAAAGACAGTCCACTTAAAAAAAAAAAAAATTATAGAGCTAATAAATAAGAGTTCTGTAAACTCTTGGGATACATAAGCTATACATATAAATAACATGATTTCTACAACTATACAACTATAGCAATGATTAAACCAAAACTGAAGTTAAAAAAAAATTCCAACTAAAAAAAAAAAATTCCAACTAAAAGGGACCAATAAAAAATAAATTTAAAAAGTAATAATAAAATTCAAGGGGCTGGGATTGTGGCTCAGTGGTAGAGTGTTGCCCTAGCACGTTCAAGGCCCTGGGTTTGATCCCCAGCACCACATAAAAATAAATAAAATAAAGATATTGTGTCCAACTACAACTAAAAAATAAATATTTTAAAAATAATAATAATAATAATAAAATTCCAGGGCTGGAGTCGTAGCTCAGTGGTAGAGCGCTTGCCTAGTACATGTGAAATACTGGGTTTGACTCTTAGCACCACATAAAAATAAACAAAATAAAGAAGATTCCATTTATCAAAAAGAATAAGAAACTTAGGAATAAATTAAACAAGTGCAAGACTGTGCAATGAAAATATAATTTTTTTAAAGAAACAAAAGATAATCTAAAAATTGAAAGATATCCTCCCTTAAATTGACCTACATATTCAAAGTGATGCCCATCAAAACCCTGGCTGGCTTCTTTTCAGAAATTGACAAAACTGATCCTGAAATTCAAATGGCTAATGCAGCACCTTTAAAAAAAAAAAAAAGTTTGGCAGGTTCTCAAAAGTTAAATAAAGCCTCCATAAGACCCAACAACTCCACTCCTACATATATACCAAGAGAATTTAAAAAAAACACCTAATTCAGTAGGAAATTTTAAAATATGGTCACAGAAACACTTGTACTCCAGTGTTCACTGCAATTTTACTAATCAAAGCAGTATTATTAATAATAGCTAAAAGTGGAAACAACCCAAATCCCATCTACTGATGAAACACAATATAGTATATCCATACTATGGGATTATTTCTTGACAATAAAAATAAATGAAGCTGGGTGTGGTGGTGCACGCCTGTAATCCCAGCAGCTTGGAGGTTGAGGCAGGAGGATTGCAAGATCAAAGCCAGCCTCAGAAACAGTCAGGAGCTAAGCAACTCAGTGAGACTCTGTCTCTAAATAAAATGCAAAATAGGGATAGGAATGTGGTTCAATGGTTGAATGCTCCTGGGCTCAATACCTGGTACCAAAAAAAAAGGAACAAAGTACTGATATATACTGTAACACAGATAAATCTTGAGTCACAAAAAATCATATATTATATGATTCCATTTATATGAAATGTTAAAAATAGGCAAATCTATATAGGCAGAAAGTAAGTAGATTGGTGGTTGCCTAAGGATGGGGGGCTTAGGAGGAAATGGGATGTGACAAAGGATGCTGTGTTTCTTTTTTTAAAAAAATATTTTTTAGTTGTTGATGGACCTTTATATAATTATTAATCTATATGTGGTACTGAGAATCGAACCCAGTGCCTCACACATGCTAGGCAAGCGCTCTA